ACATTCTCTCGGCATTCTTTCATTTCTACCTAAGATTCTAGTCAGGGATCTAAGTGAAATATACACATGTGCATATTTTGTGATTTTAAGTGGAATTTTCTTAGAAATTCTTATTCATACAAATTATTTTTGACTCTTAAATGTATTATTTATTAACAAATTTATTGATTAATTCCCAGAGTATTTATATCTAAAAAACATTAGCCTTCCAACTGTTAAAATTTACTCAACCTCAGGATTTTGATAGCATCAATCCTTCCACATCATTCTGAATATGATACATGGTCTTTGTTGTGTTTTACCTGTTAATGTCATATTTTTCAGTGTGCTTTGTATTCCCTGACTCTAGATTCCCTGGTTTTCACAATCCCCAAATTTTGTTCTTTTATGGAAGATGAACAATAGAACAAAACTGTGAGTTCTTACAGAGAAGGCAAGATATTTTAAAGAATATGTGCAGTTATACAATACTGTGGCAATATAAAAATAACAGATAAGGTGAATAAGAAGAAAGATGCCTGCTGATGTGAAAAGACATTCAAGATATAGCATTAAGTGGAAAAGTCTCAGAACAAAATGTATAATATGTTTCTATCTATATATAAAAATAACATGCACTTATGTATCTTTGTAATATATATATTAATATATCTATATCTGTTTACCTATAATTTCTAGAATCATGCACACACAAAAAATTGCTGTCTACCGTTATTGCTGGAGAAAAATAGTAGAGGTTGGGCAAGAAAGACTTTCACTTTCACTTTATTCTTATCTATTCTGTAATGTTGAAACTTTTAAACCTAACTTTTGTGAGGAAAAGAGTTTATCAAAAACCTTAAAATACCTGTAATTTTTGAACAAAAATTATACTTATTGAACTCTATCTTAAGAAAATGTTTATAAATTTAAAATAATCAGTAATAAGATACTCACTAAAGTTCTAATAACAGTAATGAAAGTTAAGAAAATATATAAATTTTCAACAATAAGGAAATGCCTAAATTGTGAGAAAACCACAGAATGGCATAACACATAGAGATTAAATATGTTCATGATGATTAAAGATGTGAAAAATGATCATGATATAATGTTAAGATAAAACACACACTACATTTTATAAAATAAGACAACAAAACTTTATAAATCCTAGGTTTATAAACAAAAAGCCTGACCAAATGTGAAAAGTGATCTTTTCATGTGTGATAAACCTATGAGTAATTTTTCAAAATTTCTTTTCTCCATTGGCTAAATGTCATTCCATGTGCAAAGTTAATAAAAAAATTAATAATAGCACATATATTACAACTTAACAAAGATAAATAGTCCCCAACCTTGCCATCTAGTTTGAATCCACCTTAATAAAAAGATAACAAAATGTTTTAAAATTATAGATGTTATCAAGTCAAGAACATAGATTCCCCAATATATTTGAGAAAAGTAATAAGCCAATACGCTTTTCATTTTACAAACTCAGAGAAAAACAAAAACTACTGTCTTACAGGTGACATGATTATAGTGCCACATCTCTGATATTCTGCAGACTAATTATGACCTTCATTATGTATATCCTACTTTACAAAAAAAAAAAATCTACTTACACAAATCCAGGTAAACAATCTAGTTTTATGAAGTGAAAATTTAAAAACGGAAAATGTCAGTGTTTAATACCTCTACCTTTGTGATTAGCAGCTTGCCAGCTTGTATACATTTTCTGGGTGATACCTTATATGTACCAGAATTTCATAATTAAATTCAAGATCAAAGATTTGAATTATTTTATAAAAGGGTTTCAAATATATTTGAACTAAAATCTTGATTTATATGTGAAAAAAATCTTTTGAAGGTGTTCAGTGTCTTTGCATTATAATTCTAGGGCAGGGGTTGATGAATTTTTTCTCTAAAGTCCCAGTTGTAAATTCTTGGGGTTTTGTGCACTATTTAAAAATACAAAACCATTCTTGGCTTGCAGGCTATTTAGAAAACAAGACAAAATAGTAGTGCTTCAGATTGGCCCCATGCGCCAAAGTTTGTCAAACTCTGTTCTAGAGTTATTTTTGTTAACTTATTCAAAGGTCATATGTGTTGCTATACTCCACTATCTAAAACACGTTTGTTGTCCTGTATCCCACCTTCAAAATTGTATTTAACTTTTACAGTCTCTCAAATATGGTCTTTATAAAAACTTTCAAGGTGGCCAGGCATGATGACTCACACCCGTAATCCCAGCAGTTTGGGAGGCCAAGGCAGACAGATCACGAGGTCAAGGAGATAGAGACCATCCTGGCTAACACAGTGAAACCCCATCGCTACTAAAAATACAAAGACTTCATGACTAAAACACCAAAAGCATTGGCAACAAAAGCCAAAATAGAAAAATGGGATCTAATTAAAATCCAGAGCTTCTGTGCAGCAAAAGAAACAAATCATTAGAGTGAACCAGCAACCAACAGAATGAGAAAAAAATTTTTGCAATCTACTCATCTGACAAAGGGCTGATATCCAGAGTCTACAAAGAACTAAAACAGATTAACAAGAAAAAACCAAACACCTTTAAAAGTGGGTGAAGGATATGAATGGACACTTTTCCAAAGAAGGCATATATGAGGCCAAAAAACATATGAAAAAATGCTCATCATCACTGATTATTAGAGAAATGCAAATCAAAACCACATTGAGATACCATCTCATGCCAGTTAGAATGGCGATCATTAAAAAATCTGGAGACAACAGATGCTGGAGAGGATGTGGAGAAATAGGAACACTTTTATACTGTTGGTGGGAATGTAAATTAGTTCAGCCATTGTGGGATTCCTCAAGGTGTGGTGATTCCTCAAGGATCTAGAAATAGAAATTTCATTTGACCCAGCAATCCCATTACTGGGTATATATCCAAAGGATTATAAATTGCTCTATTATAAAGACACATGCACACATATGTTCACTGCAGCACTGTTTACAATAGCAAAGACCTGGAACCAACCCAAATGCCCATCAATGACAGACTGGACAAGGAAAATGTGGCAATATACACCATGGAATACTACACAGCCATAAAAAAACAGTGAATTCATGTCCTTTGTAGGAACATGGATGAATCTGGAAACCACCATTCTCAGCAAACTGACACAAGAACGGAAAACCAAACACCGCATATTCTCACTCATAGGCGGATATTGAACAATGAGAACACATGGACACAGGGAGGGGAGCATCACACACTGGGGTCTGTTGAGGGGTGGACTGGAGGGGGACAGTGGGCTTGTGGGGAGGTTGGGAAGGGATAACATGGGGAGAAATGCCAGATATAGGTGATGGGGAGATGGAGGCAGCAAACCACCTTGCCATGTATGTACCTATGCAACAATCTTGCATGATCTGCACATGCACCCCAGAGCTTAAAGTACAATAAAAATAAAATTAGCTGGTCCTGGTGGCACGTGCCTAGAGTCCCAGCTAATTGGGAGGCTGAGGCAGGAGAATCACTTGAACTTGGAAGGCGGAGGTTTCAGTAAGCCTAGATCACGCCACTGCACCTTAGCCTGGCGACAGAACAAGACTCCATCCAAAATGAAAAAAAAAAAAGAAAGAAAGAAAAAGAAAAAATCTTTCAAAGTGTCCTTAAACAAATGGGGCTTCTCTTTCTTTGAAGGCACATAACATTTTGTACCTTTCTGATTTTACATAGGACTACTAATCTTTTTATGGTGGTGTGCCAAGACTTACACTCAGCATGAGAGGAACCCTCTCTTACACATTTTTTATTGACTATGGTGCCTTGTGCATCATAGATTAATAATACTGATTGCAGTGATAGATAACTATTCAACAACTTCAATTCCTAGAAGTAGACCTCAGTGGTTTAATAGTAGTTTTTAAAAGGACCTAAAAGTAACATAGACACTAAAAGTATTCATATGTTTTTAAAATGTAGCTGAATTTTAGTAATATTAAAATGTGAAAACAAATTTTATCTTAAAATCGAGAAGAATGTCTGCTGCATTGACAGGGGAGACAGCTGAGAGAGGGCAGCAAAAGGACAGTGGAACGAGTTAGAGGGCACAGCAGGCTGTGTGAGCGCCAAGCGTCGGGCAGGTGCAACCCCGCGGCCCACAGGACACGCCTCAGCCCTTTCACTGTGCTCCTCGAGTTGAGAAAAGCATCAGACCTTCCATGTGTCTCAGGTCTGGGGCCTAATTATCCTGACACCCCTTACTCTTTCCATGTCAAATGAACACTTCTACACACCCAGGAGCCCCAGGGATCAGAAAGTAACTCAGTTTCAGAGAAGAACTCAAAGGGAAGTTTGGAATCTTGTAAGGAAATTTAACACTATTATCTAAATCTAAATTCATGTTACACAGACATGATAGGAAATCTTTAGAAACTCTGGAACTCTGCCTGAATTCATAACCTAGTAATGCCTCTTTTAGCTGTATAATCTTTGGTAATTTATTTAACCTTTTGAAGCCACATTTTATTTTCCATCTGTAAAAAAGGAATGATGATGATAGAACCTAACTTGGAGGGAGATTGGACTTTTGCGAGGATGGGATGAGTTAATATGTATAAGTGTTTAGAACCATGCCTGGAACATAGTAAGCACTTATTAACATTAGCTATATATCTGAAAATCCATATACAGCTCAGAACAAATAGTATTTGTTTAAATAACCTCTAAAAAGCCACACACATCCTTGCCTTCAGACACATACTGAGCTTTATTTAATTCTTGAGATGGAATTCCCATAGGAAGGAATTTACTGAAAATAGGAAACAGGCTGGAGAGACATTATCAAGTAATTTTTTAAGCACAAGAGAAGGCAAACAGCAAGCTGAAAACACATGTATGATTATGTGACAAAGAGAGACACAGGAAAAATCTTGACTCCCAGAAGCATCATCACAATAGTGTTTCCCAAGCTTTGGCATAATGCAATGACCAAAACCAGCTTCCATGCATGAGGACAATGTCAGCTCAACTTAACGGCCATACTTACCACCTTCCTCCACCCCAGGGAGACCTGCCTTTTTGTCTGTCACCTGAGCAGTGCTTTCTTCCCAAAGCTTGCTCTTATCCTTTTCTTTTTCTTTTGCAGAAACAAGTTTCCGGGACTTGTCAGATAAATCCTCTGCAATCCCTTGGGTTCCTTTCTCCATTCCTTCTTTAAGAACATTCTCAAAGCTTTCCTCTATTGGCACTGGCGTGGTCTCCACATCTGCTTTTGTTATTTCTTGGTCTTCAATTTCAATTTCTAAGGATTCCTCAATTGGAAGGTGGAAATTTCCTGGCTCATCATGTTCACTCAGCTCCTGAGAAGGTGAACTTCTGGCACTTTCATCTGTACTGTTGTCAGCGTGGGCTTCCCTGTCCCCCACTGCAGATTCATCCTCACTGTCACTAGAAGAAGGGTGACTTCTGGATGAGGTTGATGAAGCAGTTTTCATATCTACAAAAAAATATAAGAGATGATACTGTTGTTCCATAAAGCGATTGGTTTAACTGTAAAAATTATGCTAGCAATTAATCATACTAAAAATTTTAAAATATAGTTTAGTATAGACTTGATACCTTTTTCCCATATAGTCTACTCAGCAGTCCGCAACCTTTTTTTATATCAAGGATTGGTTTCATGGAGGACAATTTTTCTGTGGATTAGGGTTGGGTGGGGATGGTTTTGGGATGATTCAAGAGCATTCCATGTACTGTGCACTTTATTTCTATTATTATTACTTTGTAATATATAGTGAAATAATTATACTGCATCTAGACGGTCCCACTTGGGGGTAATGGGAGACAATGACAGACCATCAGGCATTAGATTCTCATAAAGAGCTCACAACCTAGAACCCTGGCATGCACAGTTCACAATAGGTTTTCTGCTCGTATGAGGATCTGATGCTGCCACTGATCTAACAGGAGATGGACCTCAGGCAGTAATGCCGGCGATGGGGGATGGGGAGTGGCAGTAAATTCAGATGAAGATTTGCTGGCTTCCCAGACACTCACCTCCTGCTGTGCAGCCTGGTTCCTAACAGGCCATGAACCCTGTACCAGTCTGTGGCCCGGGGACAAGAGCCCTGGTCTAAATGATTCTTAGGCTAAAGAAACCTCCCAAATCGATGGACTATGTAAGCATATAGAATTTTTCAATAGGTCACATTTAACTATAAACCATCCTTTTTGTTTTTGTTTTTTGAAAGTCATTTTACTGAAAAACCTTTGTAAATATCCATTTTGTTATAGAAAAAAATTAGTAATCATTTGTCTCGTAAACAAAAGCATTTATTTATTTATTTCCTTCTATCAGCACAGTATTCTATGTGTATGAAACTTCGGTTGTTATCTACTGTACCATCCACTGCCCTGGGATATTTGGTATCCTGACATAGTAAGATCTATGTATTTGCCCAGTATGTAGACAAATATTTTTAGGTAATACTTGCGTGTGTGTGTGCATAGATGAAGATTTTTTCTTATTTTGGGCTCTGCAGAAGCAGAAGCTGAGATGAATATTCATGTGCAAGAGATGTATTAAAGATGTGCTCCAGGAGAACTCTTAAGGGAGTGAGGGAAGCAAGGGAAGGAAGGGCAGAAATCAATCAAGGAAACTATGTCCAGACCCATTTAAACCTCAACCTGATCCCATGGGCACTTCTGAAGAGTAAGCTATATTAGGATACAATTTATGTTAGGCAGGAGCTGGGCTTTCATACTTTGGAAAAGTCAGACATTGGCCATGGGCCACCCTAGGGGGATATAAACTCTGGCATTTCTAGGCTGTTTGAATCTGAGGTTGAAGCACCTCCAGCAGTCCAGGGAAGTCCTCTGAAAAAGTCGAAGGGAACAGAAGATGGGAGATGGGTGAACGAAGTTGGTAAAAGAGATTCTGGGAGATCTAGGCACTGTGATGACAGATATGCAGTCGAGAAACTTAACAACTGGCTTATGTATTACCCAAAACGTTTTAACAATTTCCCATAAAGTACCAAACACACTGAATCTCAATAAGGAAGCTGAACAGCATAAAAATCTCTGCATACATTGCTATGGGCCAGAGAAATACAATCTTGCTCTTGATTTTCTAACCAATACATCTATGTTTGGAGGTTTTTTTTATAAATATACTTTCAAATAAAGTATCTGACATTTAAATGCTGCATAGCTTTTTTTTGGTTTCTCTGTACTGCTTACTCTTTTTTCTGTTTCTTTATTATTATTTTAAAGGGTAGGGCATGCTGTGGTTCCACTGGGGCTTGGATTTTCTGTTTCCTTATTTCTTTTAGTTCCATGTGGCAGCTGCACCGATGGCTGTAGCAGCTAAAGCAGAATTTCAGGGAAGAAATACCTGTCTTTGCCCTTATCCTCTTCTCTCCATGCCTCCAGCTCTGCCGGCTCTCCATGACAGGTCTTAGCATTTTAAATACAGTCTCAGAGACATATCAGAGTTTCCACAAAGATTTGAGAGATGCTACACAGCAGTAAAAAACAAACTCAAAAAGCCTTTAAGCAACAGAGCCCCTTAAGTGTAAGCCCATTTGCTTTTATCTCCTGAAACCTTGACAAACACCATATGACTACTATTTTTCAAATAAATTACATACTCCAGCTACTCATTCTTTATTCTTTATTTTATAAAATCTGGGTATGCCGTCTCCCTGGTAGAAAATGTAGCAGATCAAGGAGAGTTCTTCTCTGTCTTATTTGTATCGGTTCAGAAACTTTAGGGTATATGAGCTCCCCTTTCCCTTCAGAGTCTTAATGTTTCTTGTTTAAAAAAGAACATCAGCTCTGATTTATTAACAGTTTAATCAATGGCTTTCGTTAATTACATAGTTAGCTAAGACTCAACGCTATACTCGTTCTGAGCTCCAAAAATATATCTACCATCTGAATATGGAAATGATGACTCTTACTTTTGGCTCTGAGAGTTGGTCATATAATTTTTGAAAAATGAGTGCTCCTCTGCCTTTCTTTAGTAGCTTCCATTAATTTTATTATTTTATTTCAAAGGGCTGAAATACACTCTGAATCAAGTTTGAGTCAGTCCTTCAGAGAAGAAAAAATAGGAGAATGGATGGCCTCGAAGTGGCCAGGACACCTGACCTCCCATACAAACTCATTTCAGTTTTCAAATTTCTCCCTAACCTCATGCTATAATTTAGTTTTACTCTCATTTCTTGCTCTCATTTATATACACAGACACTGGGGTAAGCCTTTGCCTATAAAAAAGCTAAAAAAGCTTCAGGGCCATGGAATGGGACTTTCAAAACTAATTTTATTTATTCTGCTAGAAATAAAGCAAATGCTTATATTTAAAAAAAAAACTTTGAGGGCATATATGTGAATTTGCTTTGTCATTAGGAGGGAAAAATTATCTTGGAAGCATGATGATAAACAGCTATGCCTCCTACCCAATTCCATTTGTCCATGTGTTCCCTTCCAGTAGTGATGCGGAAAGAACCTGCTTTTGCTTGTTTTGGCAAAGAAAAGATCTGCCCTCATTGCCTGAGGTCTTGGCCAAAGCCAGTGAGTTTTGTGCCATTGTTCCATGTCCTAAGCAAGATCTTTGACTTTTCTCTTTCCACATTTGGGAGCTTTCCAGAGCCTTCTTCCTTTTTCATATTATTGATAACCATTTCTTTTATTTTTTTGGCATCATTATAATTAAAACTTTGTTTCATGCAGCATGAGATTGAGAGAAAATAGCATATTCTTCTGTACAACAAACCCTGGTGTCCCAATCACAGCTAAGCTACTTATTAGTGTGGGCTTTGGTTATGCGACTTAACTTCTCTAAGCCTCTGTTTTCTTAACTGTAAAATGGGAATAATTTTACTTGCTCTCCTTCTGTAATTGTAGAAATTACATGAGCAAAAAATTTAACCTAATCAAATGAAATAATTTTTTATGGATTAGTCTTTTTTTCCTCTATGACATCATACATGTACTATATTCTAATAAATTTCTCTTTCACAATTTCCTTCTTGTGATATAAAGAGTGATATCACTGCTACTATGATAAAAGTAAAACTAATCATGATTATGCACCTACTATAAACCAAACCATGAACTAGCACTTTGTAAACATCTCACTTAGTCCTATGGCATAATAATTACCTTCTATTTTGAGATTCAGAAAGAAAAGTGCAAAGAGGTTCAATAGTACCCAATGTCCATTAGATAGCAAGTAGCAAGTTTTGTTAAATGCTCCTTTGTAATGATACACTGCAATAAAACCAAAATCCCTCTAGTTGCTAAAAGGCCTTCAGATAGAAGTACCCACAGCCAAGAACCCATCATTGCTTCTCTTAGCTAACTTTTCACTGCTACCACTCAAGAATGACAGACAGAAAATTGTCCTCTCTCAAAAATCAGAAACTCATAAAATGTGTATATTTGTAGTGGTCATTCTACATTTGGTCCACCACTCTAGAGCCCAGAGTCCATTTAAAATATTCTGAGGCACCAAATATGAATACAAATCAAAAGCAAAGGTAGCAGTCAAAGTCTTCCTTAGTTTATTTATAATATTGACCATGATGTGGTTTGTATGAAAATATACATGTTATTCAGTTACTTAGCAAGTAACTATGGAACACTGTGGGGACAGTCACAAAAATGGTGTGTGTGTGTGTGTATGTGTGTGTGTGTGTGTGCTTTGTATGCCAGCAATTATCACTGTTTATACTGCCTGATTGCCAGTTTGATACGCCTGACCAAGGGTACCAGCCACACACACATACAAAGTCAACATCAGTCCAACAAAATCAGGATAAAGTCTACACTCCCTCCCTCATAACTGAGGTTCTGAGTTGTCCTTCACTTTTCTTCCAATTTATAAAGATTCAATTGTCCACTAAATACATATTGAGAACTTCCTATGTGCCAGGCAATGTTCTACAAGAAAACAGAAGCCTTGGTCCTTGCCTCTACCTACAATACACACTCAAAACAGAGATTGACTAGATATCTACCATTTTGCATGAGAGCAACAGATCATCTGCGCGTGTTCATAAAGGTATTGGTTCACTCTAACAGTGACTGTGGCTAACTCTCTGCGAAACCATTGCCACATGCTTACTGCCATCAGTAGCAAAACTGCCCATTTTAAATCAATAACAAACCTGACCTTCTTTTCAATCATTTTCTCACTTGCTAGCAAAAAGCATGATTTTACTGCAGTTTAATTTCACCGTTTCCTTCATTAGTGTCCTGAAACTGCAGTTTAAGTTCACAAACTAAAATGAGTAAATGCAATTAAAAATGGAACTGATTTCAGTAGCATAACCATGGATCCCAACCCAGTGGATCCAATAGGCTTTTCAACTCTAATACCATTCAAGTTTCTCCTTCCTATTCCTTAGTCCAAGAGTTCACAGCAAAATCTGCATATATGCTGCTCCTATTTTCTTCAAATTAACCATGACACACTGAATTTATATATCC